GGCCCTCTCCAGAGCTGTCAATCAAAATGGCGGCACGCTTACATGCCTAACGAGTGGTCGGAAAATGTAACAAAAGCACGATTTTCTGCCCCTTCAAAGCACCCAAACAAAATATTTTTAGATGACAATAAGCAATGGTTCCATCTGATCGTATAACCGATAACAGCTAAATTTGCCAGCTAAGCATTTGACTAATAAGCCCTGTTAACCAACCTGTGAACGTTTTTGGCTGTTTTAACAGCTTTCTATATTGACGAGATAAGTGAATCGCTGCCAAGTATATCTCACTATCTGAGCAACCGATCGTTACAAAAGTTGCACCTATTGTTGTTAGGAATGTGGACTACAGCATGATATCAGGGGTTTAAGAGGAAATTGTTTGTTTGAAAGTTATAGCCTTTTGAAGTGAATAACTCATTGAAATATGGGCTGATTTAACGTAAAAGATGATAAAATCAAAAGTAAATATAAGACAATTCCCTGGTACCCCGCTGTAGTGCTTTCACCCAGCTTTATGAGGCCTTTTGAATCACTTGAATAGCTGTCTTGGTTATAGAGAAAATCCCAATACCGAAAACGGCATTTTTCCCCCTCAAATTGGCGCCAGAGCGTCATCCGTTGGACACTGTACTTAATCCCCGTCCTTTATTGGCCTTTTGGGAAGTTTGTTTTAATTTTTTTATAAAAACTTATAAGCTCAGGGCTTTTTTTTATGACTTTGGGCCTTTTACTATCAGTCACCTTAATTAAGCTCTCTGCTAGATAACATAGCTCTGCTAGATAAGGAAGCTGTGAATAGCAGCTTCATTGGGATTATATTTTTGTTGTTTTCTTTTTAATTTTTTCTCCAACACTGGCATTTTTAAGATGTGACTTTTAACTCCCATCCACCTGAGGCTCTGCACATTTTCAGTATTTCCACATAAGCAGTTGTATTGGTATTTATGTCTTTAAACACGCTGTAATATTATTTTATGCACTGTCATCATTTTTCATATATTGGGACTTTCATCATGTGAATTTTAACTCTCATGGTCCTAAAACTGTAATCTTATTGAAGGGGTGGGTTGAGACCATCTTCAGTGTTGACTGACTATTATAAGCGTTATTTATTATTGCATCAAAATTGACAAAATGACCTATTTTGCATCTTTTTATTCTGTTTTTTGTCTGTACATTTGACAGCTTTGCTTTGCTGCGGTGTTAAAATAAAGCCTAGTAAAAATAAAATGATATTGCAGTCACCTGTTTAAAACTTATTTCCACCAACTTGGATATCTTAAGCACCTAAAAAATCAAACAAAATTGTGGAATCATCTGCTACTGTCTACAGGGACGGCTTCAACGCCACTAGAGCACCCCTTTTCCACGTTTTCTTATCGCTGTAAGCAAAACTACACAGAAAATCATTTTCACACTTTATTTAAGCATTCTGAATCCGCTTCCAAGTTTTAAAATCAATCAGCTATTATGTCAACGTAAAGATGAGTGAAAACCACCGAAATATTAAAATAGTTAAGAAATATGCCTGGAAATCTCCCCAGTAATACAATGGATCTCTGGCTCAACACCTGGCAGATATTTCTTCCATTGTCTGAAGGACACTGTGCGCCTATCAACTCTTTAAGCTATGTTATAAAATTAAAATAAATCATTAAAACATTACGTCAACCGAATGTATATTCGAATTTCAAGCACATTTTTTTGTCGCCCCCACCCCCTCGTTATTTTGAACCCTCCCTCCTCCCTTAAAAGTTGCTGCCTATGCTCCCGATTCTGGTAAATAATTCTAGTCAAATGTCTAAAAAAATTAACTTCGCTTTGATTTTGGTTTTCCTTCACTTCAAAGGATTATTCGCTAGTCTTTGGTATTTTCACAGGGTTAGTTTTATCGGCGATGACAGTCTTGTCAATGGACGGGTCCAGAAATTCCTTCCCCGTCATGTCTGTGAAGTTGGTGCAGGCTTTAATGGCGGAATTAGGAACCTACAACATAGAAATGATGTTAGTTAAAAAGGTTTGTCAATCACGAGTCAGTCATGTGATCAACGCTATTAGACGGAGTGTAAAAGGATTATTTCCTACGTGAAAACACGTTTTTGCCTCTCTCTGAAAATAATTGAATTTTTACCATAAATGATGCTGTTAGAGTACTCTGGTATTATCTGATTTGAATTAGCAATTAAACTGGTGGTAACACCTGTAACTCTCCTAATGGCGGAATTTGTAAAATTAATGTACAAACGATAAATTAAATTTATTCTTGCATATTCAGATTCTATCTGAATTCAATAAAAATTGATGATTGAGCAGCGTGTTTGCGAACTGTGAATATGAAATAGGTTTGATATTCGTGAACTATCCAAAATCTTTCCAGGTTATTTTTATTAAAAATAAAAAAGACCAGAATATCTTGACGTACCACATCTAAGGGCGTGTACTGGGCATGATGATGAACGTACACCGGGTTGTTTTCCTTGGTGTTGTAAGAAACAAGGAACGACCACCGCCGCTTGTTACTGTTGTTGGCGTCGCTCTTATGGATCAAGTTGGCGTGGAAAATCAAAGCATCTCCTATATAAGTAAGGGAAATGACTATGGTTCCTCATTTATTTCTCAAACAACAACATTTCACTTAGTTACCCAATAGATGACCAGCATTTTAATTCAAAGCTATCCCCAAAAGCTCCAAAAAATATACATGTATTTATTCCAAAAAGAAACAAAAATGAAATATATGTTTGTTTTAAAATTTTAACTACTTCAATAAAAAGGCTTTATTATGTCTGTCAAACCTAGATACCTGACAGATACCCGAATGCGTAAAATCGACCATGCGACATTGTTCTATAAAGGTTTTACGAGCAATTTATACACAAGTACGTACATGTAGCACATGTTCAGTTTAAGTGACCAAATAGGCGATGTATGTAAAAAAGAAAAAAAAAAGTCAAGACAAATACATTAGTTTTAAAACCGAAATAAACGAGGTAGTTGGCACTTAAGTACTGTTTGAATATTCCAACTGAATCGTTTCCGACCGATTTTGACATAATCTACGCGTGTGCATGCGTGTGTGTGTGTGCGTGTGTGTGTGCGTGTGTGTGTGTGTTTGTGGGTGGGTGGGTGTGAATAAGGTGAATTCATTTGTGTTTAGATAAGGACACCCTTACCAGGCTCTAACTCCACGTACTTCAATGGACAAATTTTGGCCAGGTGCTCGATTCGTTCTTCATCAATGCCGTTCTGGCCCCCAACTCTGTGATGATTCTGGCGTCCTGCCTTGTGGGAACCCACCAGAACCTACAGTGTAGTAGAACAAATGTAGTAGAACAAATGTTTAGAAAGAACAAAGCAGAATCTAGCAGGATTGGAAAAGCTGGTGGGTTGATCAGCTATAGGGGGAGCCGACAAGAATGTTGATGCCTTGCTATTCTTATTTTTCATGGCTTTTACTATTCATTGTTTTATGAACTATTGAGCTATTTTCTAGTTATAAATGAACACGATTATCTATACAAGACGACTAATTTGTCGAAAAGCCAGCATTGTTCATGGAATATGGGCCCCTAATAAATTTTGAAAACATTATTAAACATTGATGATTTGCATAACTATTTCCCAATTTGATATCAAGTTAGTAAAAATGACCCCGTGTTAAAAAAAAAAAAAAAAAAAAAAAGAAAAAAAAAACTTCAGTTGACTAGTTGACCTACTGCACCGTAACCAACAGAGAGCGTTTCACAAAGAAACTAGATCTAATGGTCATGTTGCAACTTTTATTATTCGAAATTCATTATTTTCCGCAAAAATAAAAACTTTCTTTCTACCACTCTGGGGCCGTATTCTCGACACTTTCGGATATTCTTTTTCAATATACACGACATAATTTATTTCGTATCTTGTGATCTATATTAACTTTTAAGTCAAACGTGTTTATATTTAGCCTAACCCCTTTCATTTAAGCCTATTAAAAAAAGGGGCCTAAACCTATCAAAGCACCGCTAATACCCCCTTTACACTGGACGGCGTCCTTTCTGCGTCCTTTCTGCGACCATGAAATTTGGCATCGCTGTGGTCTTAATAAGGAGGCACGAGCATTGATTTGGTATCAGAATGAATGCTCAATGGTCGGCCAGTTGTCGGCACGTAAAGTATTATAATTCTTTAACTCTCAAATGGGGCCGAACTGCTGGACGCAGAAGGGACGCCGTCCAGTGTAAAGGGGGCTTAAACAGAAACCCCCAAGTTTTTTTCTTTTAAACAGAGAATTTCAAAGTTTCTTCAAATGGAAGGCGTATTTCACCTGTAAGCAAGTTACAAGTCGGTATAGAATATTGCGTTTATCAAAATCATTTGCTGCTTTGGGCAGTTACAAATTAGGCCTACTTTCAACCTTATAGCTGTTAGCATGAAAAAACGCCCATTTCCCATTTTTGGGCGCATGCGTATTTCACGCGATAGATATATGTCCTTAAAAGGCAAAACATATTGTGACGTCATTGGCCCGTGCTGACGTTACCAGGTAGCACAAAAGCTATTGGAGATATGCTGCGCGCAAGCAAAGTGAATACAGCGATTTTCTTTTGAGTAAAATAGACGATATACGCAATGATAGTTGCGTCGCATTTGGCCTTTTTAGGCATGAAATACAGTTACATGTACATTTTTCACAGAGACATATTCAGACTCGAAAACGAGGTAAGATATTGCTTTTTAGCAGAACAAAAATCAAAAACTCAACTGTTATTATCAATATATCTGTAGTCCTACTTCACCCCGAAAAAATATTTATAACTTTGTTTCTAATTAATCAAAGTAATCGTGCCGTTTTATTTAAGTGTCTATTTCAATTTCCCTTTCTTCAATGTAAATGTAAGGTCCGGGCCCTTTTCTGGAAGAAAGACACGATGCTTCCGATTTTGGGAGGTGGAGGATTCGGTTCAGTGTACAAGGTATTGAACTTATCATGATAAACAAACTAAAGTGATGCTGGGATAGAGGGAGTAGCAATAGTAGTAGCATAAGAACACAGTCATGACAGTAATTGTAGTTTAAGATTTTAAAGCAGTAGCAGCAGAACAATATATGTTTACTGTGATTAATCCTGTAGTAATGTTACCAGTTTATTTTGCTATTATATTGTTTACGAAAGTGACATCCCAGTAACCGTTCGAAATATTTTATGTTTAGTTTAAAAACAACCTGGCATTGAAGGTGCCTACCTCTGAGGCCTATGCAAGGTCCATCTACAGAGAAGTTTCTTTTATGAAGAGGATAGACAGCAAATTTATCTTAAGGTATTTTATCAGATGAGTACAAGCAATTTAATATGTTGATTAATTTGTAAGCTTGGATGCCTATGAAACACGCATGTCCAATTATTTATCATACAATGAGAAATTACTCTGCACAGATTGAAAATATTTCTTTCACCCGATTTACATGTAGTTTAACTTATTCTGATATCAGAAATTTCCATTCCAGACTCGTTCACTCATTTGATGTTAGACCAGGGTTTCCAGTTCTACTATCGGAATTGTGTCCGATGGACCTTGAAATTCTCCAAGAGTATTGGGAAACTTTCTTGTAAGTAATTATATTACTTTCTTTTCTTTAAATAATACTTTCATTTTTTTCCAGATTTTATCTTGTTCGATTATAAAAATATCTATTTCATAGGAAATTCGGTATTCAACAAAATATCATTTCCTTTAATGCTGACATGAATATCATACTGACAGTTGCTTTTATTTATTTATTAGGGACGAAGTTCCTCTTCAGATGGTGAAATATATTGCCACGTGCGTCTGTATGGCTATTGGGCACCTGCACCAACGGAATGTAGCCCACTTTGATTTAAAAACGAACAACGTGTTGATTAGTCTACATGGGGTCCCTAAACTGGTAAGACGTTCGATTTTTTCAGGTTATTTTTCTCTTCTCGTATTGATGTTCCTGGGTCGGGCCTGATTTTGAATACCGTCTCGCTCTTCGCTAAGACTCGCTTCTTTACGTACCTAAAATGACTATTCATGTGTCACCGATGTGTCATAATTTGAATTAATACATTTTATGACTATGATAAAAATATGGTTTTGTTTTGAACAAAAAAAAAAGTTTTTGGATGTAATCAACACTTTCATTTTGGCAACCAGAACATTACCTTTTTTATTCAAATTTCAAATGCGGATTATTTTCTTTCAGTGTGATCTAGGATCTGTTCACCCTCTAAATGATGCCGGAGAGAGCATCCATGCGGTGCAATTCATGAACTTCACGCTCTATAAAAACATGACCCCAGAGGTACTGAGGGGTGGCGCCGCCTCGTGGAGAGCCGATTTCTACGCATTGGGTGTCATGTTGTTTGAACTTATGGAGGGAAGGTAATGAAAAGGATACAGCTATGTGAATCATGACAGAACTGTTATTCATGCCAATAGTTCTGATAGAAATATAAGCCAAAATGACACGGCTCCCTTCTTGAGAGTTGCTAGTGGTATGAACTGGAAAATTAGAATGTAGCCAGTAATTTTTTTCTAAAAAATACCTTAGAATTTTAGAACAGTAGGAAGTGTTGGAAGACAGCAATAAATTTTGGTCGATTTATTTAGACACCCACTTTGGACTGAATTGCCGACCAGAGCAGAAGCCAGAATGAAAATCCTCCAAGGCACCATCATCTACACAGATACAGAGCATGTCTTCAGGGATCTGATTGATAGATTAGTATGGTAGGCAATACTACTTTATGACATACAACTACACACACTGGACAAAAGAAGTGTCACCCCCTAACTCAGAGTAATGAAAGTAGGCAGATCTTGGGTACTTATAACGCCTGGTCTACTTATAATGTGACTAATGAGTATAAAACCGCTATACCATGGAATTGTATTGTTGGTCTTGTACATGTACAGCAAATGTTATTCCTGTCTTCCTCCAGTATGGCAAGATACAGGTAATTATATNTAATTAGGTCACGTGGCTATGCCACTAATTACTAATTTTGGACTTGAAACTACATATTTTGGTAGAATGTATATTTTGTTCTCATTTTGTGATTTTTTGTGAAATTTGATGTTAATAAAATGATACCAGGAGGATATCATTCCACAGTCATTTAACTCCCCCATAGTATTGGCTCAGTAGGGGTGACACTTCTTTTGTCCAGTGTGTGTACATGAATATGTGCAGTGAATAATTTAATGAAATGTCGTGAACAATTCTATCACTAGCTTCGTAAGCATTTGCCTGTCTAAAGACACAAAAGTACATAATGCACTTCTCAAAATAAGTCATGTTAACTTCGTAGAAATCGTTTGTCTTCAGTTTCCATTGTCCCTGCTTAGTCTCATATTGAACTTTCAGCACAGATCAAACCATCTCTCTCTGTTTTATTTCAGCGAAGTGGACCAAAGAATTGACAGCATGACTGGCCTTTTAAGTCATCGGTACGAATTTCATCAATATTTTTTTTCCTGCAAGACTCCTTTTAGCTGACAACTATTTCAGTCAGAGCTGATATTTATTTATTTATTTATATTTTTTGTTTATTTATTTATTTTTGTATTCAATTTATTTATCTATTCACTATATTCATTTGTCCATATATCTATTATAATTTTATATTCATTTTTTTAATGCAGTTGGCTGTGTGACTACTACGTGAATAATTTCCCAACTGATGTGGTCACCTCTCCCATTTTACACATTGCTCAGGTAAAGCCTTGATTTATTACACTGACCGTTTCTAATAAAGTAATTACTCCCTGGTTCCTTTTTGTGAACCTTCACGAACTTCAAGCAATTTGTACATGTATAAGTTAACGACTCTCTAACCTACATGTATCTAATGAAAAAAGATGGAATTTATTTTCTGTAGTTTACAGACTAATTATATGCAGCGTTTTTCGTCATGACAGGAAGTGTTGGAGGAAGAACAGCTTGAGATGGGTCCTCTGACAGCAAACAGCAGCGTTCGCAATATTGTTGACAATGGCTAGAGGACTGCTGTAAGCCACCGGCTGCTTCAATACTTTTCTCAAGTTCCACGATTCATTTTGAAGTAGCCCATTCTACATGAAACAAACTATTCACTTCATTATATATAGAGGACTTTATAACTTAAGCCTACAACAGCTGAGAACGATTTATCAAGATAAAAAATTGAAGCTAATTTTTAAAACATTAAAATAGAATTTAGTTGTAAAAATCACGTATCTTTTGTATGTGCACATAATAAGTGACCGTTTTTAAAAATCACATAATCATGTACGTATAATTCTGATAATTACTATATTGTAAATTGTTTTGATACATGTAACTTGATAACAGAAAAAATAAATAATTTTTGAAACTTCAGTTCCTCTCTCCTAAAGCCCAATCCTTCTCAAGGGTGGGTGGGAGGGTCGGGGAGGGGGGGAGGCTGGTGGTTTGGGAGAATTCCCCCTAGTAATTTTTGAAAATTTGAAGCGAAATAGTAAATTTTGGTAGCATATATCAACCAAGGAAACTTCAGTATTTGTTAAGTCCAAATAACCTGTTTTGATGACTGAGGAAACACTGATGAATTGAAAAAGGGACCTACATGTAAATTATACACAGGTACATAGGTCTTTTTCTCCTCCATTCCCACAGCTCGGAGCAGCGGTATGTTTCAATAAGCGAACGTATCGTTAACAAATACGAACTATTTTACTAAAAAATAGCATTACCTCATGAAACAAGAGATATATGGTGAAAAATATTAAAGTGTACCAAGAATCTGACAGGTTGAGTTATCTGTAGTTACCTGGCTTGGGGAGTGTGGCGGTGCATAATTAATAAGGTTAATTTAAGGTATTTTTATTGCATCAGCAATTAGTACGCCTATCAATTGATGATGGGTAATTTGGAAATCTGTCAGCCTTTGATATGACCTAAACCACTAGAGGCGACCGTAGTCATAGACAAGTAACAAGATCGTCAACGGTCGCCCTATTCAAAATTGTCAAGTACATGCTTCTATCAACTTTTGCACAATTCTGGAAAACATTTGGACTTAATACAGTTTGCTCCATAAGATGTGAGTATACATGCATTGGTGTTTATACTCAATGAATTGTGAATAAAATCGCCATTACTAATATCGCTAACGTACTGTTTTGTTTTGTTTGTTTGTTGCAAAACACAGTAGAACCTATCAAATCTATATGATGGTCCCGAGACAAATCAAGTCAGTATATTTTCGTAACTTATTAATATGCTTTTGAAAAATGAAATTACACGAGATTGGGCGAAAGGTCCTCTTACCTGCATGCAGCCATTCTCGCGGTCATTCTTATCGTAAGCAATATACACAGTGTTAAGGTGGTCTGGAAATAGGTTCCCGTTCTGATACCAGTATCTGTTAAAATTGCAATAAGATTGAATCGTAGGATTTATTACATTTTTTGGTTTTTTACTATCCCTGCTCTCTCTCACCCAATCTCTCTCTTGGAGATGAAATTAAAATATAAGGATTCTGACTTTCCAATTTCAAATCTGGTACGTCCGGTATGAATAGTAGAATTTATTTGAATAGACTAGACGATGCGCAGTCTGATCTTTAACAGGTTATACAGGAGGAACATGGACAAAATTCGTTATTATGTCCAAGGGAGGAATGTACATTGAAGGACCATAGGTCATTCAGATTATATATATTTTTACAGTGGATTGTACATAATCACCCATAATCTTGATGCCATCTGAAACTTCCCCCTGTGTTTGGCTCCTTGATGGGCAGCTTGGTGTGATAATGGTAGATCTCACCGTGTCCTATGAGCTGAAAGTACATAGCATCGCCGACAGTATAACAAACATTTACAGGTGCATGCAATGTGATTTTCCTTATTTGTACCACTTTTTTTATTTGTTTCACAATGTATCAACGCAGGCTAAAGCCCCCGTTACACTGGTTGGCGTCATTTCTGCGTCCCTTAGTACTGTCCCGTTTGAGAGTAAATAATAATAATAATACATGTACTTTACGTGCCGACAACTGGCCGATCATTGAGCAATCATTGACATTCTGCAACCAAAGCGATGCTTGTGCCTCCTTTCTACGAGCACAGCGATGCCAGTTTTCATGGTCGCACGAAGAACGTAGAAAGGACGCCTTCCAATGTAAAAGGGGGTTTAAGATAATTATCATAACATAAGTCCTACCACGGGCGTGATTGAAGTAACTTCCCCATCGCATCAAAAAAGTGATACATTTTTTATACCTTATTTAAGTAAATAAAAGAAAACCCAGTAAAATAACATATAGCCACTATGCCAATTTTGTTCTCTAAGCCATTGGCAATGCTCTTGTCATTACCTTTTCTGACGTTCTCACCAACTTCTCGGAACGACTAATTATCCCTGTGACGTCGTTCCCTGTGTGGCTCCAAATGCACATCCCCACAGACTTGCCCAGACCATCTGGAATCTGTTGGAAAGAGATATATGAAATCTCAGTAGCAGTCTACTATGGCCCATAGGAGCCTAATTGAGCAATCGTTCCGTTAATATTCCGTGTTTCAAGAGATGGTAATTTTGAGCCCCAAATATGACTGCGAAAACAAAGTCGGTTTCAAAATGACCCATATATTGATTTTGTACTTTACTGGCGTGGTTTGATTTGATTTGATATGAACTAGTATAAACCAAATTCATATGGTGTATTGTTTTGGGGTCTGGTAAAAAAAGGCGGATCACTTTGGGCCATGGTGCACTCTGGCACCTACATTTGTAGAAAGCACATTTTAGGTACTCTGTTTCAGAGACCAGTTAACAAGCTGTATAAACTGTGTCAAGGTCAATTTGCATGTATGAACGACCATTGGGCATTACCTTGGTGGCTCCAAAGTGAAGGCAAGCGTGTTAGGGGTATATGCGAATACATGTTTCTTTGTTTGGCTAGGAGAGTGTTCTGTCCGCTATTACCTGATAAGCATGTTTCATGATTGCGTCCGAGCCTTCCAACGTCTTTCGCAAAAGAGCCATCTCCTCTGCATCCAGCAACCCCCTGAAAGACAGTCGTCAGCTACGAGAGCAGTTGTTGTTGAGACATGTAATATATAACCATTATACTTCATTAAATAACGCACACATGAATTGTCCAACACTATCGGCAAGTAGGTATTTCATTTAATGGAAATGGTAAAGGCCAGTTTCCACGTTTGTCAAAATTCTGGTTAAAGATCTCTCTCTCAAATCATATCCAAAACTACGGACTAAACCCTTTTATGAGTTATACGTGTAATTTTCTTATTTTGGCCCATCCTTGGGAAAGATGAAGACTGGTGAATTGCAACGTTAAATATGTAAATTAAGAACT